CGTCCCGGAGAACAGAAGGGGCTGAGGCTTCCCGGGGCGTCTGCAGCCCGGTCTGCCTGGTGCCGGGGGCGTTCCGGGCCTCAGCCTCCCCCCAGGAGCGGGCGGGAGCACGGGGCGGTCTGCTGCGCTGCACCCGGCGAGCTGCGGTTGGGGTAAAAAGAACCGGTCACATGAGCGTCTGACAGGACAATTTGAAGGAAAAATAGGTAAGTGGAACGCGTGGCTAAGATCGGGCAGTTGGGCATGTGGTAAAGCAGGCAGGCAGCGAGGGAGCTCCAGGGACTGTCCTAGAAACGCTCCGCGCCTGGAGGGAGGCTGGAGGCCCGCAGCGTGCCCTGGGGTCTCTTCTGGCCTCCTGCTGTCACGTCATCGCACGCTTGAGAACTTTGTGTCTCGGCCGCTTCCAGAGCCCGCAGGTCGCTGCTCTGACTGCTTGGGGGCTTGAGAGAGGAGCTCTTGGGGCGTTGCTGGGCTGCGTTCTGGTTTTCACATGCGTGGCGAGCGGTGATCAGAGCTAGCATCGCCTTCAGGAACGTCGGGGAGGCAGCGAGAGGTGGTTTCTAGGAGATACAGCAGCAAATTGATGTCAGCGTTAGTGGGAGTTTAGTGATTGTCTAAAGGAGAGAGGCTAGAGCCAAACTTGGATTTTCTGAGCATGTTCTACATGAATTTAGGTTTCAGGGGATTATCAGGTAGATGCAAGGTTGGGAATTAAATTCTCTCAGTTATTCTTTCAAATTCAGAGCAAACCTGTTCACGGACACTTTTTTTGGGTTAGATTAAAAAAAAAATTGAGATCACCGTCTACATATAGACTTGTACAGAAATAACTGAAGGGGCGGATTAGTACCACTTTGGTACATTTCTTTCATGTTTCAAATCTTATTGCACCCTTTCATCATCTGTTTATTGATTTAACTGTTTCACCCAGCTGCAATAAATAACAAATGTGACCAACAGCTGAGCTCTTATAGAGGTTTTCATTTTGATCAGCAAAGGCCTGGGCAGGTGAAGCAACTTGGCAGAACAATCCATGTGTGATGTGTTCAGTAGCACAAATCCTCCCCACCTTCCAAAGTTGTGAGCGTGAGGACTAGACCCCTGCGTGGAAAGGTCAGTTATACTGAGAAATGGGGCAGCAGACAAACAGGGTGCAAGTCCTGCAGCCCCGTGTAGGACCAGCAGGTCGCCCCTGTGGCGCCTCTGTTCGAGGCTTTGCTGCAGGGACGGCTGAGTGGCGCTCGGTGAGGAAGGCAGAGGGAGTGCTCAGGCTCTCCTTCAGCCGCTGGAAGGGCTGCGGGAGCAGGACTGCAGCAGTGCTGGCCCTGGTGGTGCCCAGCCTGCTGCTGCAGGGGCTCGGCGCTGCAGACTGCTTGTGCCCTTGGCAGCGTGGTGGCCCGTGGCTGTGACGCCGCCTGACGCATGAGACGGGCCTGGCAGGCAGCTTGCTCTTGGCTGGCAGCTCTCCCCTGACCGGCACTGAGGGCTGGTCTGTCAGACGCTACCTCTAACAAAGACCCGATGTGTGTGAATGCTCATTGTCTGTGTGTCTGCTGAGAAGCTTTATTAAGCTCTGATATCTGGCTATACGTTGGCTGTAAATTTGGTTTTTCATACAAGACAGCACAAGGGTAATCCCTACCTCATTTCCTTATGGCTCGAATTTTTTATCTACATCAGTTATTCTGAAAGCAAAACAAGCTGCGTGCATATGTTTTGTGTGCACTTGAAGGAGACAGACCAAGAATTTGTCAAGACAAAAATGAAAAGCCAGAGGAAAGGGAGATTCATCTATTGTTGAAGAAATGTCAATCTGTCCAGTTACATTTCACATAAAGTCCCAAAGGGGCTTGAAGTCTCAGGAGTTTTTGAAGTAGGTGGTATTCTCATAAATGTGAAGTCAGAAGCACACTGTTACATTATGAAAAATAAGACTATGATCATCCTCCTTAGGCAATAATATTTTCATGCAATCAGTAATAGAATGGCCTCAAACTGAAAAAAAATGATGAATACAAAACTATTTGGTTTGGTATATGCTTCTGTTTCATAAATAAATGCTACAGCATATATAAAAGAAGATAAACACTGACTTGTCATTAGCTCAGATGAGAACAACTATGGACAGGAATCGGAGACAGTATTGATAAACTAAACTGGGAATGTAGAGGAAAGTTTCCAGGAATTACTGTTTTCCAATTAAAAAAAATCAATACTGAGAACAAGAGAGTTTAAAGAATTAAATTCTAGTAGTCTACTCTTCTGTATCTGTTTCATTTCCCATTTGGCACCAAGTGTGCATTGCAGCAAGTTTTATTCGTGGCTGGTTTTACAGTCCGCATTTAGATTTACATGTAGATTTAGAATCTACATTTATGAGTATACTCTTATTGTTGATGTATACAAAATGAACTCTTCGTATAAAATACTTTTAAGATTATGTCATGATAATCTGGTTACACTTTTTTTTTGTAGGACTGAAACATGATACCATGTTGAAAAGCTGTACATGGAATACCGTTACAGGAAGGAAGGGTTGTTTTATTTTTGAAGCCCGCTAAAATATTCCAGTTCAGACTAAACTACAGAAACAAGTTATCCAGCAAAGATAAAGATATACTGTTGGTGACCTCTGACATTTGCTTTTTCTGATAATCCTGTGGCAAGACAGGAATTTACAAATATAATTCTGAATTTGTGTCGGATACTTGCAGGGGTAATGTTATTTGCAGTTAAAAAATGATGGTGCAGCTGCACAGCAGTATGAAAGTTTTGAGGGCGGCCTGATGAATTGGCTCAGACAGATGCAGGTGGGGGGGGGTTTGGTGCAGTTGGTTGCTGAGGGGGTCCTGCTGGGTGACCCCCCCGTTGGGTGTGGGCCCCCGCGTGCTTAAAGCACCTTTGGGTGACGTTTGGCTTCAGCACAGCCGGGGGCCTGTCCGGGGCAGGGGGGGCAGTGCAGCTCCCTGCTCTCTGGCCAACTCCCCAGTAGACAGAACTAGGGAGTCTTGCTGAGGAAAACCCCAGCAACGTGGAGTCTCTCTCAGTATTATACAGGAAAAAAGGTAAAACGCTGAAGCTTTCTGGGTTTTTTTGGATTTTTTTGAAGATTGACGTTTGTATAGGTGTTTGTAAGATTTATGGAGGTGTTTTAGGCTCATGAATACCCCAATGAGAAGAGCTAAAATAGAAGTTCTAGTCTAATATTTGAGGAGTCCGAGCCTACACTTTTATCCTGCTCTTTGCCAGTGGGTATTTTATTTGTCCATCTTGGGAATGTTAAAGCTTAAGGACTTGTCTTCAAAGCACTTTAGGCATGTGAGTGAAAACCCACGGTGCTCAGGGCGGTTCTGTGCCATTGCTGGAAGCCTTCCCTTCCAGCTTTCTGGGCGAGCACAAGTACAGTCGCCTCACCCGCTCGCGGCCCGCCACGGCTGCGCTCCATCTCTGCCAAAGCTTTCATCGGGAATAAAAACAAAACACAAATTGTAAGGGGTTTTTTGAAAGGTTCTCTGGTTTTGTTTTGTTCTTTTAAAATCAGCAGTTAAGCCTTAAAAATGAACTCAAAATACTCGGGGTTTATTTTTTTGGGGGTAGTAAATTCTCGTGCACACGTGCTGTGAAATTCGGTGGCAGGGTGTGGTGGGTCATCGCAGCGTGGCATTGCAGATGTAACGTGTGTGTGAGGCAACGCTTGCTAGCCAGTGTGAAAAAATAAGCATAATCATAGACATTAAAAATTAAGCAAAGTGTTTGCACATATTTAGATGAGGCAGAAACCAGGCAAGATGCCGCTTTTCTAAACTGCCTCTATCCAAACCATTCAGTACAATATCAGAATGAAAAATGACAACACTTTGTCATCTGTTCAAATTGATATTGCACTCTTTGCAGTGACAGCTGAAAAGGCCCACAGGTGCCATATAAAGAGGTGACCATGTTGTCATATTTCATTTAGGCATCCCTCTGCAAAGCCATAATTACCTAATTAGGTTGTTAATTAGGAGATTAGCATTTCACTATATTGATAGAATGCTCTTTGCAGGCATGAGTCTAGATACAGATTTGTCTGCCCTAATTTATAATCTTTGCGGGTTTTATACTTATTTATTTGCTTAAAATCTTGATGCAAGATAGCTCAGGTTAGCTGAGGATCAACTTGTTTGCAATTAAATGAAGGTTTGACGAGATCAGGAAACAAATAGAGGTGAGGACAGTTTCCACACATAAGCCAATATTCTCTCCCTCCCTCCCTAAAGCTCAATAATTAAAATATCGGAGTTGGTATAATTTGCATCCTGATTAGTGTGACAACAAAAATACAGCCGAATTCCAAGCAGTCGATAACCGTAGAAGTACATAGCTAGTGCCAGATTGATTTACAGGTTGGAAAATGTAACAAATAATTTGTTGGAAGTTGTGCGTAATGTGGTGGTTTCTCATCGTAACTTTCAGATTCCAGTTTCACTTGTGAAAGAGCACTTCTTTAAATGACTTTAAATGATGATTTGCTTTTTAATGATAGGACCCAAAGCATGAGTGACAGCTTCTCTAGATAAGTATTCATTCTTAAATGCACTTGAGCTCTTGTTGAAACATAAACTTGAATTTTCATGCACTGCGGTTCACTTTCCTTTATCCTGCGCGCGCAGGAGTCTGTCTGGCATTCGAAGGTTTTGATTATTTGTGCTGCTGCAAATGTAGATAACCAGAGCCATTTCTTCTGCAATTGCAGACAGAAGTTAACTGTGAAATTATTTCATATAACCTGAATCATAAATTTTTGAAGTATGTTTGCACTGCCCTATTCCAGTTGGGGGTGGGTGTGCATGATAATTTTTTTTTATTCTAATCTGCCCGTTGGTTTGGTTTTTTTCATTCGTTTTTACGATCACTTTAGAGCGCTGTGCTCAGAGGTGTTTAAGTCCAGTGACTATGGAAGCTCTTCAGCGATAAGATGACCTGTAGGGTTCTATGATTCTTCCAGCCTGCTGTATTTTGAGGTTATTAAGTAATTGGTTTAGACCCAGGTTGTGCCTTCCAGAAGTTGCATCTCTGTTTAGAAAGTTTTTGTTTACTTTGAATAGGGCTTTAATTGTTTATTACTTCCTTAAGGAGGACAGTCATTTTAAATATATTATCTTCTAAAAAAAAAAAAAGTAACTACATCTTTGCAGAATAAGAGAGGAAATTTTTTTTTTTTCCTGCTTCTCACTTTTTACTTTGAGAGAGCAAAATAACCTTGCAAGAATTGGCTCAAAAGTTTTGTGGAGAATTTACCGCTGCCTTTAGCCATTTGAACTGAAGGACTCTTAAAATTATCCCATTCAAACTGGTAGAATTTCAAAGTTGTAGGCTCTTTCCTGTAGCAGAACGTTTTTAGTTGCTTACAACTTTTTCAGATTTTTGTCATTTGTTCCGGCTTATTTAGTGGTCTGTGAGCAAATTTCCACGTGGGCTTTAATCAATATCTTTGGAAGCATGAAAGGTATAAATATCAAAATTTTCTGTGAGGAAAATATTTCTTGTTCTTCAACCAGTTGTAGCATGTCCCGTGAAGGTGACGTTAGCTCACAGGTTTAGGAACAACGTCCTTAAGCCAGAGCTGAGCTGGCGGTAACCAGCCTGTGCTTGGTGGAGCTGTAAGTTTTCACCCCGATGTCTGTAAACTCCTTGCGACGACAAGTGCCACGCACGAAAACGTGCCCGTTGTCACCAGCTTCGATTTCCTGGGTGAAGTCCGCGGTTCAGTCCATGGTTCGACCAGAGAAGGCTTCGGGGCCCTGCGGTGAGCAGCGGGAGCGGAGGGCTGGGCTGGGGGCGGCAGACTCGGGGCCCTGCCTCGCTCCTGGCGGGCGCAGCGGAACGCGGCCGGTGCGCAGCGTGGTGACGAGCCACCTTCCATCGGGCGGAAACAGGGAGGGGTTTTGTCAGATTCAACCAGCAAATCCCATCCAAAATAACGATGTTTTCCCAAATGTACGGTAACCCGTGCTCAAGGTCGAACGCTTTCCTCTGAGAATCGCGGTTGGCACAGGGCGGCGCGTGGCTGCAGCCCCACGAGGCGGCGAGGGCCAGCCCTGGAGCAGCGCGGCGTTCCGCTGCCTCCCTGGCCACGGGGGGTGGCAGCGTGGGGGGGCGGCCATCCCAGGAGGTGTGTGGTTACCTTGTCCTTGCCCCTCATCTCTCCCTGGCTTTGATGTCTCGTTGATGCTTGATGTAGGATAACGTGAATATAAATCAGACGGGGTTTTGGGGTATGTCTGTGGCTTTTGGTGGGGAAAGAGAAAAGTGAGAAAAATCTGCCTTTTAAAATATTTAAATAAATACAGTAGATCAGACAAGCAGGAGGGTCACAAGAACTCGACATGTTGGTGAAGCTGCCTCCCCAAATGCCGACGTGTTCGTCCGGGTGTTCGAGGTACAGCCTGTAGAACTGCCTGTCCTCTTCAAGACCTTTGTGTCATCTACTGGGAGCTGAATAATTTGTTAGAACGTTCTGCATTACTTATTGTTTGCTGTGTTATGAACAAAGCTGATCTGCATAAGAGCCCTGCTTCCCTTGCAGTGAGAGTCTATAGATGCTGTAAATATAGCAGTGGGTCACTGGAAGAGGAATCTTCTGATAAAAATAGTAGGCTGAGATCCAGCTGTCCGATTTTGCTACGAAGTCCCTGTGAATCCTGGCAAGGCGTTCAGCTCTTGATGGTGCAGTTTTACATCGTTGAGGACGTTCTCGAAGTGCTCGGGACTAACAGTCCTGTGCTCCCCGCGGTCTCTGGGGCACCTCGGCAGCAGTGTGATGAGACCAAGGAGAAGGTGAGAGGGGGCACCCTCGCAGGGTGGGGATCAGATAACACATGGAAAATAAGTCGGGTGAATAATAAAGATCAAGAAGAAAGCAAAGGGCTGATTCAGCTCTGTCCACCTATGTGATGAATCATGGAAGGCAGTTGCCTATAAGTTGTATATCACGGTAACACTAACCTGTATATCATGTCACACATAAATACTGTTAAGGTTGCATAGGTTTCGCGTTGCTCTTTTCATTTTTTAGTGTTCGCATAGACCATGCCTGACAGCTGTCTGCAAAGGATCTTATTTAATAGTGGAATAATATTTATGTAGTGCCGGTATTAAAGGAACGCTTATTTTTTGTTTATGATTGAAGAACGTATAGGTTGCTGATGCTCCGAAAGTCCCTGAGTTCTGTTAAATTCAGTTACTCCCCTGGATGTGACGGTGGTGCGTGGGTATAAGGACCGCAGGAGGGGCGGTGTGCTGGCAAATCTCAGCGGCTCTAGAAATCGATCCTGTATCTGTGATTTTTGCTGGAGCTGATGACATGGAGGCTTCAAGGTATTTGTGTAAAGGTTTGCAAGATTGAGCTTTTGCTTCTCAGAATTTTTTTACTTCACCAGAGGTCGTTGTTCCTCAGACCGGGTCTGTGCCATCTGATTGGGTTTTGCCTTTATCGAAAGCAGGGACCGGTTTAGAATTGTGTAGGTAGCAACTACTAAAATACAGCATAAAAATCTGAACTTAATTTTGAGCTTTTAACTTTTTTTCTGATTTGATTCAGGGTTTTTTTTTGGAGGGGTGTTAACTGTTTATAGAATTTCCGGTTCACATTAATTTATTGAGAAATTAGTTTTAATGTGTCCTTTTGAAAATTCTGAGGAGGAGGAAGAAAAAAAATGTGTTTGTGTTAAACTTTAGAGTTTGAAGTAGAATTTCTGGCAATTTTTCACCGTTCATGTTTATGGGAAGAGTGATTGCATATGTGAAATTGTAAAGAAGCTTGGCTAATTTAGCACACGGACTGTTAATGGCATGAAGTCGGGGTGCAGAGTATAAAGGTAAAATTCTCGCATCTGCTGTTACATGTTGTTAACTCCCTTAGCAGACATTAAATCATTTCAAGTACAATAATAGTGTGGGAGGTAAATTAACTAACCATTAACAATCTTATAAATACACAATTAACATGCCAGCATTTATATGACACATTGATGGGGCAGCAGTAATTTTTGATTGGGAGTTTGCAGACCTTTTAGAAGCCTGAGGCAGTTGCTTATTTAAACAAGTTCTTACAGCTTGCAGGTGAGCGTGGCCTTTTCTAATAAGCAGTGTGTAAATAATTAAGTTTAAAGAACGCTGTCAGTGCACTTTTCCAAATATCCATACGCTGTGTACTTAGTTGTCTCTGTGTTTTCCAGGTCTCACAATACTAGTCACGCTGTTAGAGCTTAAAGGCCTTTAACACATAAATTACAGCCAGGAGACAGTTGCCTTATGGTAGGATATTTGCCTTATGGCCTCTCTCTTTGAGGACAATGAGAAATCCTTCAGGGAGAGCAGGCCTACTTTCTGTAATGGAAATAGTCAGAAAATAAAAAATAGAACTTGGGTTCGCGGCGTCGCTGAGGTTGGTGGGGACCTCTGGAGGGCTGGTCCAGCCCCCAGCTCCCCGCAGGGCCAGCGAAGGCGGGTTGCTCAGGGCCTCAGCCACTTGGGTTTGACTATCTCCAAGGATACTGATGGAGCGTATTTAGCTAATAGCATAATTTATTTAAATGTATGGTAGGAGTAGTGTATTAATAACAAGCGGCATGTCGCTTTTATTTCTCTACCATTCTTTTATTGAATTCCTTCTTGCTGCTGGGTCTGTTGTTTAATATAATACTTCTGAATTTGTCTGGGTTTTTTTTAAGCAGAAAGATGCAGTCTCTCAGGAAAAAAAAAAAAAAAAAAGGCAAGGTTTGTGGCCCAGGCAGCACAAAAAAGCCTGAAACTGAGGGACATAAACCTCTTATTTGGATGCTTTTGTTTGTTGGTGGCGTGGGTACTGGTAGAGATTGTGGGTTTGCAAGTTACAGCACACCTTCAAAATTTTGCTTTTGTCGTGATTAGCTGAGTGTCCAAACAAAACACTAATTTTGCTTCCAACTATTTAAATGCAGAAGCCGCTCCGCAGGGCTCCGTTAATCCACCTTTCCCCTCGGAAGCATACGGGGGAAACGGTGGGATGTGTTTGCTGGTCCTGGAACAAGCTTTTCTGATGCTTCCTTTCACTTTTTTCTGTTAAAATCTGGCACAGAAAGGCCAGCTGCCTTTACCAGGTTTTCATGGGATACAGCATTCTGTGAATTTAAAATTGTTTCTTTTGGTATTTTCTTCTTGCTGACAGAAGTTTGCAAACAGCAACATAGGGGTTTTGTTGTTGCTTCTGTGTTCAAAGTACTAAACAAACACATGTAGTTCTAGTGCTGGTATTAAAATGTCGCCTGATTTTTCTCACATATGCAAACGATTAGGAAAGTAGTGGAGGTTTTGTACTTCTGGAGTTCACATCTAGGTTTGCATGGGTCTGAGATTAGACTTAAAATTCCCCCAGCCTCTGCGGAGAGGGGAACCTCGGCTCACCTCCCTGTCTGATGCTCCAGCTGCTCTGTTGTGTTGGTACTGGTGCTCCTGCAGCTGTTGGCTGGCGCGCCGATCAGCCTGAAAATTAGTAATGGTTGGGTTTTGTCAGGTTGTTTCCAGCAGGTCCTATTTTGGCTCCAGCTCACCTCGCAGCTACACGAGCGCTGATGCTAACGCCAGCCCTGGGAGGGGGTGCAAGGGTGGAGCAGGGCCAGGCAGAGCCCGGAGCTGCCCCTTCCCGAGGCAGCCCAGGCTTGAACGAGATCAGCGGAGCTCTAAATCCACAGCTACAGTCAAACAGGGTAACAGTTGGAGTGTGGTTTGGGGTTTGCGGTTTGGGGTTTTTGCTTTTCGTTTTTTGCCCTCTCCTTTGTTTTGTGAGGCCGCTCGAGTACCCTGAATGAAATATTATAGGTACGTGGCAATTACTGCTGTTGAAGGGCTTAAGAATTCAGGCGTGTGGTGTACGATCACAGAGGTTTGTCGGCGTTACAACAGTTGCCCTGTACGAAGCGCCGCGCCATGCAGCAGCAGATGTTCAATATTCTGCCCTGAGATACTGATCTCTCCATGTTTTTCCTGGAAATATGAAACCTGAAGAGAGTCTGTAATAAAGTAATCAAAGAGTTGGTATGTAGAGGCACAGTAGAAATACTGACGCTGTATTATGATGGGTGAAAAGAAATTTAAAACCCGATCTGGCTTTTTGTAAACTTATTCATTTGAATGGATGGATGTTTCTTGTGTATTTTTATTTTCTCTCTCTTTGTCTCTGTGTAGTCCTTAGCATATCTTGCCTTATAGCAACCATTTGTTGTAGAGTAATGGGACCTGTCTGTAGGTGTCTGTTGTGTTCTGTTTTGGGATTCGGGTTTCAAGCTGTCTTCCAAAAGTCTGTTCTTCAAGTGGATCTCAGCAAGCAGCGTAACTTAAACTGGAGCAGAATTAAAATAATTCGCTGTATAAAACTGAGTCAGTTAGGTTTTGTGCATCCAAAATATAAACATTCTTAAATCGGGGTTTGAGTTTGGTTTTCCTAAAATGCTGTGTATGTTCTATTTCTAGGTAAATGTGTCCATGAAACAAGATGGAGAGAAGATAGTATAGTGAAGCGGTGGAGTTGTGGACAGAATGGCTTTCCTGGACAACCCAACGATTATACTTGCTCATATTCGACAGTCACACGTGACCAGTGATGACACAGGGATGTGTGAAATGGTCCTGATAGATCACGATGTCGACCTGGAGAAGTTTAATCCCTCGTCAGCATATGGGGACAGTGGTTCAGAAACACAGGGAAGCAATGGTGAGACTCAGGGCTATGTATATTCCCAATCAGTCGATATTACCTCAAGCTGGGACTTTGGAATCAGAAGACGATCAAACACAGGTAAGTGATGCTTGCAGCCAGGATAATATCAGCCTTTTAAATTCCATTTCTGTTAGTCTGCCTTGCAGGGACAAATCGGAGCATGACACGCCAGGTATCTGTCAAACTTTTCCTTTTGTGATGTCGAGACCCTTTTTTGTAGAAGGACTAAAGTAACTGAATCATTTCATGTGTGCTGTCAACTGAGTTTTAATTGCTGTTTTACTTATTCATGTGCAGAGGAACACTGAAGTAGTCAGGTTTATATATTAAAAAAATTTAAATTGTAAAGACATCAAGTCTAAATCCAAAGTACGAGAACAGTCTGATATTTCTATTGTTAATGTCTGGAGGGGTGTTAACTTTTGAACAGGATAGTTATTTTCTGAGAAAAATCTATCTAGTGAGGCATCAAATCTATTTGTTATATGAGAGGAGTGAAGTTTGATGTGAGCTGACAAAGTGTGTGATTTGTCTATACTTTGTCTCCTGAAGTTTTACTTCTGAGAAGAACCTTGAGCTAGGATTTAAGTTACCAAATTAGAAAGTTGAAGGGTGCACACCTTTATAAAATATGCTCAGTTTGTCTTGACTAGAAGAAAGCTGTCCCATCTGTTGTTTCATGTGAAGGAAGTTCAGACTTCTACCCAAGGAATGCTATGAACAGAAGTTCTGTGATATAAAATATATCTGAAAAGATTGGTGTGTGGGGTCGATACTGACCCTTTTCTTTTTTTGTTACAGTAGATATTTTATTCAAATGATTTCTGAAGGTATAACACCACCTAGAGCTCAGAAAAAACATCTGTGCTCTACCTAACAAGGAAAACATTGTGTGGTATCAAGTATTTTCCAATACCTCTTACAAATGAGAATTTATCAAAAGTTACAGAAAAAACAGGGCGCTGATCTTGTAAAGGAGAGTTAGCTTTGGAAATAAGCTGGATATATAGCTGCAAGCACCTGGAAGGTGAAAAGCTCAGCGTGCCAGCCTGCCTCGCGCTGTCCCTCAGCTCTTGGTGAGTTCAGGTGATGGTGTAGTTTGTGAGGAAGGAGAGACAGAGTTTAAAGTTTCATAGAATTGCTCCAAAAAATAATTCTGAAGGATTGTTTCACCGCGTAGACTGATGGAATAATCTCGGTGTAAATTACGTGTGGAAACCATTCCAGTTTCCACCTGGTGGCATATTCCCAAATGATGGTGAGGACGCTCGGTCTGCTGGGGAGCCTCTCTCTGCCTCTTCCTCCAGCGTGTGTTTCGCAGTCCGCGTGTGTGCTGGTACCACCAGGAACCTCGTGCGGTTGTCCGGGCTGTGAGTTGAAACAGAGTGGGGTGGAAAAAAAGCCTACAAAGACTGCAAGTGGATCAGTACTGAACCCTTTTCAAAAATACAGGAAGAGGAATAAATTAAAGTTAACTATTTTTAAGAGAAACGCTTTTTGCATTACACAAGTACTTATCTAAGTTCTTGATGGACGAAAGCAGCTACGCGTGTGCGTAGCACAGGGTGTTCGCCCATCCCTTAAATACAAAAACTCATTAACTGAAATCTGCAATTTTTGCTCCTAAAACAGCAAATGTAAGGACACTTCTTTTTTACTTAATCTGTAACTACCTGAGTAGGTTTAACAAGAGCAGAAGCATTTGTTCTTCGAGAGGCAGATGATGATTTTTAGGTTGGGAAGGAGAATATTGTGTCATTTTGGGTATCAGCAGGTAATAACGGCAGACTTTAACATGCAAGCTCTTCTTTAATCTCCTTGGTTTATATCCTGCTAAATGAAATGATTTTGGCTTATGTTGTCTGTAACCATTGTTTCTGGATGGAGTATAACATTATTATCTTTAGCAAAGCTGTTCCACTGTCCTTGCCAGGAGAGTATCTTTTTCATAAAACGTGGAGATAACGTGTTACTGTAGAAGAGTCAACACCTCTCTGAGAGACCACAGCAGTGTGGTTGTTCGTGGCTCTCATGTGGCTCTGCAGAGTTGGAAATGCGTTTTTATGTGTGTTCTGGGAGCAAAGTTATCCCCTTAGCCCTTGGCCTTGGCAGGGATGTGCGGGGGGGACGTGCGAGGGTGTCGCACGTGGCGCCTGGGGAGCGCCGGCGTTACCCGCCGCTGCGTTCCTCCTCCTTTCCCGCCAGAGCTCAGAGTCTCCTCACGGCCCTCGTGCCCTGTCCACAGCGTAAAATACCGTGGAGGCAGGTCCTGCGGGGTCTTGGGCCTGTGGGAAGGCAGCGAATTCTCCCAGTCCACGAGACTAGAAACAAAGGCTCATCTGTTTGCTCATAGTTAATGAAACAAGAGCCACATTTGGTCAGTGACATTTTTCACACGGAAAGCTTTCAAAGCAGCATGCTTCTGGTGAGAATGAACTTAAATAATTCAGACTTCTAATAGGTGCTGCTAATTCCGTGTAATTTGGAGTTGCTGTAACGCAGCCCCGCAGTAAATGACCATTTGTGATCAACTCGAGAGAGAAGGATGGGATGGAGTCGTGAAGATGGCGCCTGCGCCTTAGGGCGCTTTTTTTGACGGGGGGTGAAAATATCAGATGGGATAAAAACATGTGTTATTCTTATTTCTGTTTTACTTTTTTTTTCCCCTTTATCCATTGTTTACATGTGAATCTAACAGATATTTTATGCTGGCCCATTTGAGAAGAAAGGGTTTTGGAAGGTGATTTTTGAGCTACAGTCTGGACAGGAGTTGGAAAAAAAAAAAAAAGCTTTTTCTTTTAGAATAAAATATCTATGCTACAGTAGTGTTTTACCCAATATTTAAACTTAGTAAGTGGGGATACTTCTCTTACTTCATTAAGAGTAAGTTACATGGAGGCACTAACCTCATGTTGATTTAAATGGGGAATGAGCATCAAAGTCCCTGTTTGTGTTTGTACCTAAAACGGCTTGTTGCAGCTGTTAAACCTCAGAGGATTTTTTTCATCAGTTGCCAGGTTGAGAGTGTTTTGGGGAGCAAAAAAAAATAAATCTCTTCTGTGTCCACAATTCAGTTTAAATGTAAAATAATAATAATAGGAGGGATAGAAAATATTTATTAACTTTTTTTAATTGGTGAAACGGTTCAGGGAGCTCGGACTGTATCTAAAAATTGTCAGAGCAATTTAGCATTTTAGAATCTCTTCTACAAAGCCGTTTTAGTTAAAGAATGATCTCAGTACATCAAAATTGCTAATATATCCAGCAAATTGTTTCCTTCAGCGATCAACATTGTTAGTCCCGCTTTCCAGTCTAATCCGCTTTCTGGTTTTGCGTGAACACTTGGTAGCACCAGTTATTTCTTGTGGCCTTTGTCTCGGGGGGCTCCTGCCAGGTTTAGGTGACCATGTCCTGCGGGACTGCTCACTGTTCACAAAAAGGTGTTGTCTGGTTGTCTGGTACCCTGCTCTGTAAGTTCTTTGATATTATAACTGAGTCTTTTTTTTTTTTTTCCCCCAAACCGTATTTTGAAGATGGAGTCAAAATACACGTAAAGAAATATTATATTCATTTTAAGATTTGACTAATGTTGTGAAGATACAAATCATTTATTTTACTACCTATAAACTGTTTCAGCACACTGAAGAAAAAGCTATGCTAATTTATATAGCTTTGACATTTTATAATTTTCATGATTTTTAGATAAAGGATTTTATATTTAAAACTTTAATAGTCTAGTCTGAGTTCATTTATCTTTAATTTTTGAAACGGGTAGAGTAATTCATAACAGTAATTTTATTCCTGTAATGTAATATTCACTTCAGTTCATTTGTGCATTAAAATTCCTTTAAGACCGTTATTAATGATTTATATAATGAAATGTCATATTAATCACAGAAGTTTTCACATTTTATTATTCTCTTCCATGTTAATACTATCTTTATGATCTCTATTAATGTTTTATATCCTCTAATTTCAATTATAAATCAAGAACATTTTCATGTTTTTGTTGGTATTTGCTTTTCAGGGGTGCCACCTTTAAAATTTTATGACTTTTTCCCCTACATATGCAGTATAAAACATCTTTATTCATATAAAGGTAGTTAATTATGTCTTTGTTTATAGTAAACTTTCATTGACAAACTTATAGTTATCATATTTCTTTTCAAGCTCAGAGACTAGAACGTCTGCGGAAAGAGAGACAAAATCAAATAAAATGCAAAAATGTTCAGTGGAAAGACAGAAATACTTCTTACTCAGGTAAAAAGAAAAGATTTTCTATTTTCCTACTGTTTTTATTTCTGCTTTTAATGGTTGCAGTATTCTCAGTTTGTATTTTTCACTTAAGCTTTCAAAGCACAGAGGAAATAGGAATTGCTCTGTGCCTTCCATTCCCCAGTTATGTGTTTCCCCTCGTTTATTGCTGGGGGGGCGAGGAGGGGGGGCCACAGGCATCTCCTTTCTTTTCAGCTACAACTAGGGCGTTCCAAATGATTATTAAAGGCAAAGTCAAGAAAACTGTTTAAAACCCAGTTTGGTGGTCTGAACTCATCCAAGTCGCCGTTTCTATTTTTCGCGGTGTGAGCCGCTAACGCAGCGTCTGCGTGTTCCGTCACCCGCGGCACCGCTCCCCCGGGTCTGGGCGCCGGGGCTGGGGCGGCTCTGGCGGGACTTGGGGTGTGAGGAGCAGGGGTGGCTCTGCCCCGGGGTGGGGGACTGGCGGGTGCCCGCGTTCGAATGCGGGATCGGTGTCTCCGTATAAATTATGGCTTTCTAGCTATTTCCAGGGGCACTTGGTGTACCGGATGTGATGAATCCTATAGTTTACTTTTATGGAATGTTTTTGTGGCTGCTTTTCTAGGTAAGGGGAAAAAATCTTAAGAAATGATAATTATGTGCGTATATATGATCTACTTGAATGAAAGCATGATAAATGCTGCCGTAGTTTATCTAGCCTTTCCTTGTAAAAACTATTATCACTGATTTCTCAAAAAATATGCTTTTCTAAATTATATAGTTAAGTATTTCTGACTGGACGTTCTACATAGTTTAAATTGTAATGAAAAATCTGTCTCAAATCTCGTATTTTATAGCTCAAAGTAGGATCTATTCCTGTTGCGTTTGACACACGTTCAAACCTTTGTATGGTCTGTCATGCCTACTTCTTTCAGAATTTGTGTATATCTTAATGAGGTCCCTGTGTAATCTCCTTTTTTTTACCTAAATCCCTGTATCTTCCTGGCTGTCATTTGCAGAACATTCTCCAGCTCTATAATATCTTTTTTTAGAGAAGTGAACAAAGCTGTTCACATGAGCAACACGGTTGCACTAATCCTTAGTACAGCGTTCAGCTACGTCTGATACCTCTGTTAATGCATTCTGAAATGTTTTTGCCTTTCTACTTCTGTAAGCAGGGCTGTAGGTTTTAAAGTTTAATCTACCATAACCTCCAGCTCTCTTTGCTCAATATTTTATAGCATTTGACCAATGATGATGCAATTCTCGTCTTTATCCCTTACTGCATACTGCTTGGTGTTTCTCCACACTGAATTGCACTCCGGCTCAGGTTTCCTGCTGTGGCTGTGCTGTTTGTGTTGTCTTATTCGTGGGGGCTCCACCATGGCATTCGGTTCCTTTCACGTGCTGCCCTGAAGACAGACATAATCTGTCAGCCAGCAGTAACGGAGGTGTCCCCCTCTCTAAGGATGTGCCGGCGTTGCAGGCAAAGAGATCAGTCCCTCTCTGCTGCAGAACGGATTTAAATAAAAAACAAGTAAGTTCCATAAAAACTCCAGGCACTCGGTGTGTCTCTTTTTACATGCAGAGCTCATTTTCCTTCTCTGCTTAGTCACTGAGACCGTGCATGTGTCTTGCGTGGTAGGAAGAGGCCAGGAGAGAGGAGCCCTGAAGGATCCCCTCTGTCCAGTGTCTGTGTGGGGCTTCGTCTGGTCTGTTCCTTGAATTCAGCGTGATTGGAAAACATGTGTGAAAGCAATATCAGAAGTAGCTGTTCTCAGACGGGGGGAATTTGGCTGCCCTCTTCTGACTGAGTTTATCCGAGCGTTAGGCAGGGTCCAGCCTACGGCGGGCACCGTGCAGACTGGAGGGCTGCTGGGAGGTGGCTCTGTGCCGTGTCGGGCTGTGACACCCCCTCCAGAGAGCTCCTGGAGAGAGACCTTACCGGCTCTCCTCCCGTCCTGCCCTTGCATACGTAGCTCTAATTTGAGGCATCTGGCAATTGAGTCTTTTTTGTGATTCCCATTTTTAATTACTATGTACAGAAATAAAAGTACACTGAGCAGGATAAAAGGAAGTAAGAGATGAGAAAATTATGAGAAAATAACGAGGAAAAAAAAAAATCATATTTCTTCTATTCATCATCTGTTTGCCCGCTGTCGTGAGACAAGCCGTTTGCTTTGTCAGGAATGAGTTTGAAAGATAAGGTGGGAGGGGCGTACGGACTGGAAAAAGCAAATCTCCTTGCACTTGGAGTTGGTCAGGAGATTAATAAACACAAAGGTGCTTCAGGGGGAGTGGACCGACTGGAAGTGAAGTGTAACGCAGTGGAGGTCTGGTTTTTGTTCTGCTGTGCCACCAAGTCACACAGCGCCTGTCTGGGCATCCGTTCTTCAGTGAAACGGAAAGAGCGTTCCAGCTTCGTGCAGTGTGGAAATCAAGTTATGTGGGTAAAGCAGCCTGTGGGTCCTCTAAACCAAGTGTGGATAGACATGCAAAAGGTTACTCCTTTTTATAAAACGCTGGGTATTTATAGATGAAAGCAAGAAAATGAGGCATTGTATTTACATCCTGCATTCTTTCATATCGGAGCATATAAAATGTGCATTAACAATATCTGGAGGGAATCTTTCCAAAGCCGTGCACTCAGCCCATGTGGAACAGCCCCTATGGCTGACAAAGCCACAAAAGCTGAGAAATACAGATAATACAGACTAGTGGCAGAACTTACTTTTAATCAAGAATTAACAGTTGTGCAGTTAAGGTAGTTCAATGTAAAAACATGATAATTTTTTCCCTGAAATTTGAGAATTCTGGATTTAGTTTTTTTTAATGAGAATTCTCACAGCCCAAGTCTGGTAGGAATTATTTAACAAAATGCTCAGTGGAAGATGGTAGTTATTCAGAAATCTCATCTACCTTCTAGCTTTTTTTGCACAAATTTTTAGGTTTTGAGTTCCTTTTCCAAAACTAGTTGAATTTTTTCAACTCCTGAAGTTTTCTGGAAAAGGAAAACTGTATCTCAGCCAGCTGAATTTGCAGCCTTACAGAATTACAGTGGCTTAAACTCTTCAGTCAGATCAGATATTTGTCTGAGTGAAGGCTGGGCAGAACTCAGAGCACAGCAGATGTCACACCAGTGGCTTCAGAAGAATTCTCGAGATCCTCTCTTGCCACATCCCAACAAAGGAAACAATAAACAAATCATTTTACTATTTCCCTAGAGACAAAACTTTAAGATAAGACTGACTTTTTCACTAGAACCAATACAGCCATTATATTGCATTCCAGGGTGCAGAGTACTTTCCAAATGCCCAAGAAATACCAGATAAGGGTAATACTCCAGCATAATTGTAATTGAGATTATTATATTTTTTTTAAAGCAGAGATAAGCTTGTTACAAAAAACCCAGAATACCTAATGGAGTTTAAGTTGCCACATTTAAAAAGGATTTAATCAAGCTTTTTTGGTTAATCACAGCCTCTCACAAGACTGTTGGGAATCTCTTGGTGCCAGTATTTAGCACTTTTGCCAACTGTCTGAATTTTCAGGCAATCTGCTGATAAAAATAAACTGAGCTTTTGACTAGTTACAATTTGTCAAGTTTTTAATTCTGCATTTTAAGAAATTAACCAACTCCCTGCAGATCGAGTCCCGACTCATTCCGCCTTAGGAGAGGTTTCGTTTCCCTGGAGGAGCAGCGTGTGTATCTGTGAGACGGGAGAGAATCCAAACGCGGGAACGCGGGGCAGAGCCGGTCTGGGAGGGCTGCTGTTGGTTCTCGAGCTGTGATTGATGGACTTTGGGGGAACTTGGTTCCTGGAGCAGATGTGGAAAAAGCTTGTCCAGATTCAGTCACGGTTTCTTGCAGATGAGACCCGTTGCTACTGATGCACTAAAACACCCCAGGCTCTGTCCTGATTTTGGAGCGTCCTGGTAACGTGAGAAGCCCTAATTTTGAGGGGGTTTTAAGTCTGACAGTCAATTTTGGGTTAAAACCATTGCTGGAAATTCAGCTGTGCAGTTTCTTCATGTAAAATGAGCTGCTTGTTGGAGGATTTTTTGAGCCTTCACAGACCACACAAAGAACTCACTAACGCTTACACCTTTGTTTTTAGAAACCTTCTTTTAACTGTCCAGGCTGTCTGTCTGTCTGGAATGGTGTTTCCAGGTGTTTCTTTACTTCCATGAGAATCTGAAATTCTTTTGGATCACATCTAGTCCCAAGCCGACTGCTGACAGCATCATGACATTATGATATATTAATGGGGCAGTGTAATATTGTCCTGTAATATCGGACGATATCGTGTGTTACAGCCTGGGTTTGAAAGGCTCTTGCATGGTGCCTCGTAGATGTGTCAGCAGTTCTTCTGCATAGCGTTTCCTGTTCATTTAGAAAAAGGTAGGCAAGCAGGAAGACCAGGAATGTGTAATCCTCTCTTTGAATCTTGAATTTTATCGTGACTGAAGTGGATTTTGTGTAGTGATCAGTTCCACGGGAAAAAAATCATCTTTTCCTCAGTCGAAACAGTAGCACTGTTCAGACTTCTTACGGTATCGTATCTTTGGGCTGTGAAAGAGTGGTGGTAGATTCTGCCCTGCTAACGCATTTGGTTTATATATTTGATCTTGTTCCCCTCTTACAATGTTATCTTTCTGTGGGAAACAGTGGCCTCTGTACATCTCATAGTACAACCCCTCTAATCTCTTTTCTGATCTACAGCAGAGGAGCTGAGCTCACTATTTGAAAAAAAGAATTTCAGAGTAAAGTCTCCGTGTTCTGGGAAGCAGTCAATCCTGTCTGTGCGACTCGAACAGTGTCCGCTGCAGCTGAACAACCCCTTCAACGAGTACTCAAAGTTTGACGGCAAGGTAAGTGGACCAGATGTTTTTCTCTCCAACCCAGGAGGTCCCTGGCCTGAAGATGATAGGCCTTCGGCAGTTCTTGCGTGCGTGTACTTGTTCAAGCTTTAATTAGACTTTATAGTAGGCCATCAGTTATTTTAAAGTGGTTATCTAGGAACATGCTTCTCTTAAATATAATGGCTCCAGGTATGGTAGAACCGTTTCTCCCGTTTTTTGTTACAAAACGATGGCCTTACCCTTAGGCACACCTTGCCTTGCTTAGGGAAACATGTGGACATCTCTCTGCAGAGTTGGTGGTAAGACCCTTTGTATACATGATGGGTTATTAGGCGTGTTTAAAAAAATCTATTCTGTCCAGCTGCATCAGAGCACTTGATGAATATTCCATGATTTATGATTTATGCTGTCTTTATCCTCAAAATGCTCCAGTGAGAGTGGGAAAAGCCACTGTCTGTTTTGAAGGTGGAAAACTGAAGCATCTATGGGTCAATATCTTGGGGGGGGGGAGGACTAAACAGCGTAGTTCTGTGCAAGTACTGGTTTGTTTAACACACGGAGGAGGTTCGCTACAGACCTGGTAGGTCAAATTCATTCCTCAACCACCACGGTGATTTCAAGAGCTTGTGCTTGATATTACTCAGCATTGTGGATAACCGTCTTTCCTTGCCAGAAGCTTAGTTACTCTCTATTGTCAAATATTTTTCTCTGTCATAAACTCTAGAAACCAAAACATAAACACTGGTGTGATGTATCAGTGTCACATTGTTCCAAAACAATTATGAATACCGCGCAGATCTGTTTTCTGCTGGATTTGTTTGTGGAATCTCCTGTGGGAGTATGAAGTTTGAGCTTCATTACCATTGTGATGGAAGAATTTCATATTCTGTTAAGTGTTCTTGAAGTGGAAAGTCAGATATGTAATTTCACTAGCATATCTAGAAGTATTTAGAGTATTTGTGAAAAGGTAATTTTTAGACTATGAAGTCCACGCAGCAAAAGCTGCCTCTGTTGTTATTTTGTACTTACTACTAGGAGTAATTAGTGCTAACTCGGGTTTTTCAAAATTTCTGCCGTCACTAATAAATGGTACCAGTACTTCAGTGCTGACCCCACTCTAAGGTGCCTTTTTTCTAAACTCAAAGCTTGCTGTTCTTACATGGTGAAATTTCAGTTTGGCAAACATTTAACTGTACTTCCAACAGTCGTTCACAGAGGAAGTAAGAATAAAATACTTCTTGAAGAGAAAATTACTGCAATTCACTGGTGTCCCCGTCTTGTTTTAATACCCAAAGATGATTGGAGTTACCTGCTAGAATTTTTCGCACACTTGAGGAACTTTAGCATGTTTCGTTCTCACTTTGATAATCCAAACTACTTTTTACTGTATTAATAGGAATTATAGTTGAGTGTAACGAGCATCTTAATCTTCATATTTTAAAGTCTGATACATTTAGCAGGTGCTTGGTCCATGGGAAGGAAACGGCACTGTACAGATTAGAGATAGTAATGAAATACCGCGATGTGACTCACTTGTGATTTGCAGGGTATGATACGGATTAATGCGATTTGTGATCTAGAAATCAAAATAACTTTCTACCTGTCCAAAATAATTGACCTGTAATTTCGTTAGAGTTTCATCTCACTGTATTAATTTTAACAGCATTGCTTATATTACTCTGGTAAGAGTGTCAATAGCATGCTTATACAATTTATCGTCTGTCCTTCCGTATGCGTTGTCTATTTTTGAATACCTACTTGACCATCTGAGATCTAGAAGAAATGTTATCATTTAGTGAATTATTTTACTTCCGTTTTGTTGTATTTTACATCTGTGATGTAAAATCAAAAACCATATAGCTTTTAAAAATTATTTTTAATGAAACATCATAGGTCTCCTATTTATTTTTATCGATAATAGACGAACGGTATTTTTCACATAAATACAATTCTTTCAGGGAATAGTGCATGACTTATTTACATAATTAACAGAGCCACATATCTCTTGGGGAAATGGTACATAATTGGGGAGAGGCAGGGGGGATGAGGAGGGGCTAGAGGCCTAATTAAACATGTCTTAAAAAAACCCTACTTAATTACGTATTTACTCAAGGGATCACAGTGGCTCTGAAATCTTTTTAAGATTATAACTAGGCCTTTGGTTTATATATATATATATATGTATATTTGAGTTTTGTGACACAGATTTCAGCTGGTTGAGTAATGCCTGGGTTTTGGTGCACTGGCAGAGCATAAGGAAAGCTCTTTACTTGCTGTATCTAAGCTCTGTTCACGTGTGTGCTCATCTCGGCCGCATCCGGAGTGGTTTTACACCAGTTCAGCTCCCTAGCTGACCTGAAATCAAAGAAAACCCTTCTCACCAGGGCCCTTCCCACACCCTCCCTCCAACATCTGACGTGTCGTTTTAACCCGATCAGTTTAAAGAGAAGAGGATGTTGCATGCTGTAATACCAACCAGGCCAATTTATTAAAATGCTTACATCTTGCAGGTGTTTTCTGCCAGATTTAGTGTCTTTTTCATAACCACTTCTGCAATTTTATGAAATAATAAAATTTTAGAGCACTCTAATTTCTTCTTGTTCTGATCAGTTCATTAATTATCAAAATAGTAGAGAATATGGCTTGTGAAATGCAACTACAATGGAAGCATTCTAATCAGCTCAAGAATTCAGGTGATTCTTGCCCCACGGCTACACGTGACAGATCTGTGGCTTTCACCTACACTGTGAAACTTCAGCTCTTCACAAAAGGCGCACACGCACCGTAACTACTCTTGCCTGTATCTTCAAGTTTTTTCCTTAAAGTAAACCTAACCCCAGCATCTGTTTGCATGGTTTGTAAGTCATGTGGGTTGTACATCTTGGTTAATAAATCTTGAAAATTCTTTCTAAGAATATTGTATGAAAAGAAACATTTATTTATCATTACTTCAGTTGTAATTGGTGTAAAAAAGGCCTAAGAAATGAGTGGCCAAATCGATTTCCTTTGCCTGCATGCAAGTTAAATTATCATCCATTTTATAGATAAGTTCATATATATATTTCTGTTTACAGAATTTGGAAAATCGGTTTGTGATGGCATATTGTTCCAACTTGCTGCCTTTTGATGAGATCAGGAAAATAAGACTGACTGTAAGATTGGAAAGTCACAGCCAGGTACCAGGGATGAAACACAGGTGCTGTCATGGCTCAGTGACGCAACTGTGAGACTCACGTGATTCGGTTTACCTACACGTTACCTGCCTGCTGTCGTTAATTGTTTGGAAAGCATGTGTTATCTTTTATACAGAAATTCAGAAGATTTCTTTTCAGATCCAGGTGTAACTTGTGTGAGTTGCTGGAAAGCATGGCAGTGACTCTTCTCTGAGATACTAATTGTAAAGGATGCTGGTTTAGTGCCGTGTTAGTGTCAAGGCCGTTCAACTGCATGACCGTTCCCGCTGGCAAGAAAAATGTTACCAAGATGTATTTATTTACTGGAATAGAGAAAAGTCATCTCGAGTCAAATGTTCAGCTTTGTAGGAGCTGCATACTGAGTACCTCCTGCCAAGGCCACTGTTTGCAGTTCCCCTTGAAATAATTTCCAAGGCCAGTCCACGTCCTTTATTTCTTCCAAGTCTCTGATACCTTTGAGAAATTTTAATCACTGGAATGTCTTGTCAGTTCAGTTTTTGAGATGCCTGCCACCATATGGCTGCTCCTACATCCCCAGAAGAATGTCAGCAAGTACAGAATTGTTACAGGTCAGTCAAAAAAGAGAAGCTGAGGATATGTAAAACAGTCAAAGAGGGAAGCTGGAAAACCACAATCAAAATGTAAGGAAGGGATCATCCAGCTTTAGAAAGAACTTGAGTTACAAGGCCTCGAACCATTCCTACGTGCAGACTAGAGTTTTCTCAAGGTACTTTTATTTCTATTTCCATGACTGCTGGTTGAAAATGAAGATTTAGGGAAATCTGGCTTTTCTGACCTTATCTAGGGATTTAGTGTGTTCACTTGACTACTGGAGATGCTTTACATAAACAGCTCAGCATGATTTTTGGCTGGACAGATGCTAAAAATCCTGTTGTGTGGAGTGGCACCCCTCTGTAGTGTTACGGGGTTTCTTGTGGCTTGTTTTGGTAATGGGTTAAAACCCAACAATTTCTCTTGTAGCAACTGTTTTAAAAATGATGCTGTAGAAAGCATGGGGGAAGGGATAATTCATGACTGCTAATTGCTTGGCTGTTAATTTTCATAAGTGTTGATAGAAGCAGTTCCTTAAATTAAACTTTGTTTAAACTGTATCAGGGGAAATATTCCACAATGTCGGGCCTGAAGTGAAAATTAATATGAATGCTGTGGCAATTAACACGTACTGGTTAATAGCTTTTAGCAGCATTTTGGGATGATAGTCCTTAAATACATTTTTGCATGCTGCTCTTGTTTCAGTCTTGTTTGACTGTATGTCTGGATAATCACGAACAAATGTTTTTCACAATCTTCAGTATTAAATAGCTTTACTCAAAGAAAGTAGATAAAGAACTTAAGAAAAAGCTATACTGCTGTAATTAATATGGAAAACATCTAAAATAATTAATCCAGGATTAAAATCTCAGTGTGAAAAAGTGCATATTTTTTTTTTTATTGAACTGTTTTGCCCGTGAGCTGAGTAGAATGATCCTCATCTGAATCTGAAATAAGTTTGCAAAGGGGTGGGTTGGTTTTTTTTAAGAATTTACTTATTCTGCCAGTTTTAGTGGTTTACATACTACCTGTGCTCTACTAAAATAGTTGAAATCAAGATGTTTCTAGTGTTACTGGTTATGTAATGGGTTACCCTGCTCCTGCCTCGGTGGCCCTGGGCCAGCTCTGCGGGGCGCCGGTGGCTGTGGGGCTGCACCCCGGTGGCGGTGGGTGAGGACAGGGGCTGGGGAAAGGAGGAGCCTCAGACCAGGCTTTGAGGAACACAGGCTGCTGCTGCTTGCTCAGCCTGCCTCAAAACCTGCG